TATCAAAGAACCCCATATATTCAATTTTTGTTGAAATCAAAAAAAGTTTAATTTTGGACCCCAACTTGGACCAACTTGAAAACTGGGCCCATAATCAAAAATCTAAACACATGTTTAGATTCAGCATATCAAAGAACCCCAAGAATTCAATTTTTGTTAAAATCAAACTAAGTTTAATTTTGGACCCTTTGGACCTCAATGAAGACCAATTTAAAAAACCGGACCCAAATTAAAAATCTAAAAACACGGTTAGATTTGGCATATCAAAGAACCCCAATAATTCAATTTTCGATGAAATCAAACAAAGTTTAATTTTGGACCCTTTTGACCTCAATATGAACCAATTTGATAGCGGGGCCTACAAATAAAAAATCTAAATACATGGTTAGATTCAGCATATCAAAGAACCTCATATATTCAATTTTTGTTGAAATCAAACAAAGTTTAATTTTGGACCCCAATTTGGACCAACTTGAAAACTGGGCCCATAATCAAAAATCTAAATACATGTTTAGATTCAGCATATCAAAGAACCCCATATATTCAATTTTTGTTGAAATCAAACAAAGTTTAAATACTGGACCCTATCTTGGACCAACTTGAAAACTGGGCCCATAATCAAAAATCTAAACACATGTTTAGATTCAGCAAATCAAAGAACCCCAAGAATTCAATTTTTGTTAAAATCAAACCAAGTTTAATTTTGGACCCTTTGGACCTCAATGTAGACCAATTTAAAAAACAGGACCCTAAATTAAAAACCTAAATACACAGTTAGATTTGGAATATCAAAGAACCCCAATAATTCAATTTTAGATGAAATCAAACAAAGTTTAATTTTGGACCCTTTTGACCTCAATATGAACCAATTAGATAACGGGGTCCACAAATAAAAAATCTAAATACATGGTTAGATTCAGCATATCAAAGAACCCCATATATTCAATTTTTGTTGAAATCAAACAAAGTTTAATTTTGGACCCCAATTTGGACCAACTTGAAAACTGGGCCAAAAATCAAAAATCTAAATACATGTTTAGATTCAGCATATCAAAGAACCTCATATATTCAATTTTTGCTAAAATCAAACAAAGTTTAATTTTGGACCCTTTGGACATTAATGTAGACCAATTTGAAAACTGGACCCAAACTTAAAAATCTAAATACACTGTTAGATTCGGCATAACAAATAAATAAATGTGATCAAAGATTTTACAAATCTAATGCGCCATACTGTGCAATTAAAGATTACTTCTTGAAATTTTTCAATATTTGAAATTTGAAAAAAAAATAATATTTGAAGAATAATTCTTTTTAATTTCTGAAATCTGAAATGAGAAAAAATTGGCCCCCCACAATTTCTTTTTATCCCCCCCCCCCTTTTTCCCCCAAAAAAATTCTTTCCCTCAAGATATGGTCATAATCTCAATTCAAATTTCCAATGGAGTTGGCAACCATAATTACCCATTTAAATTTACCATAGTGCTAACTTAATCTATTTTATAATAGAATTAATAAAAATATAGTGTCAAATCTTTCATATGGATTTTTTTGTAAAAAAAAAGGATGAAAACATTTGCAGATATTTTTACTGGTCTTCCTTTATAAATATGCATTTCTTTAAACATAATTTAAAAGCAGTGTAAGGGAAGTAACCAAAACGTTGTATTTGGATTACCTCCCTTACACTGTTTTAGATTATCTTTATTGTTCATTAACCATTACTTTATACATAATTTAAAAGCAGTGTAAGGGAGATAATTTCAATGATGTATTTGATTTATCTCCCTTACACTGCTTTAAATTATGTTTTGTACTAAAGTATTTGTCCATTAACCAGGACAACCTTGTTTTTCCCCCTTTTTTGCCCCTAATTCCTAAACGGTTTGAGCCATAACCCCCCAAAGCAAATCCTAACCATACCTTTGTGGTATGGAAACTTGTAGTATTATTTCAGAGAGATCCATACACCGTTCCACAGTTATTGTCTGGAAACTAGAAAATTCTCATTTTTGGCCCCTTTTTGGCCCCTAATTCCTTAACTGTTGGTACCATAACCCCCAAAATCAATCCCAACCTTCCTTTTGTGGTATTTAACCTTATGGTCAAATTTCAAAAAGATCCATTCACTTAAACTAAAGTTAGAGTGCGAAAACCAATATGTATTCGGACGACGACGCCGGACAAAGACGACGACGACGACGACGCCAGCGTCATACCAATATACGACCACAAAATTTTTTTGCGGTCGTATAAAAATTACTTGATATTTAGAAGAAAATAAAAATTTTGCAATTTTTCCATTTATAAAGGGGCATAACTCTAGAACGGTTAAAGTGACGCCACCAAAATCCAAACTTGATCTGTGTTTTGTAGTAATAAGCATTGTGTATAAGTTTCATAACATTTGGTTGAGGCAAACTTAAGTTAGAGAACGGAAACTAAAAATTTTGCAATTTTTCCATTTATAAAGGGGCATAACTCTAGAACAGTTAAAGTGACGCCACCAAAATTCAAACTTGATCTGTGTTTTGTGGTAATAAGCATTGTGTATAAGTTTCATAACATTTGGTTGAGGCAAACTCAAGTTAGAGAACGGAAACCAATTTTGGGACGTACGTACAGACGGACAAGGGTAAAACTTAATGCCCCCACCGCTACGGTGGGGGCATAAAAATAGAGCTGCTAGAATAATACTAGAAACAGACCATTTCGCTCCTTCTGAGCCCTTATTTAAATTGGATGACAGTTGAACAGAGAATAAAATATCACAAGTTTGTGATGACATTTTAGTGCATCAAAAATTATGCCCCATCATATCTTACTAGCAAGTTTCATTATGTTTCAGACAGAAATCCATACCCCTTGAGAAATGCTGTTCAAGGAAACCTCATACTCCCTAAACCAAAAATAGAATTGTTCAAGAAATCTTTTATGTGTTCTGGACCATTCTTGTGGAACAATTTGCCTATATTTTATGAAGCATTACAAATGTTAATACACAATGCTTATTACCACAAAATGTTAATCTTTCAAATACAAAATAATCACTTATTGAAATTAACCAGTTGAAAAAATATTGAATATTAATTATTTCATCATGTTTATTTTTTCATAACATTTTATGCAGTTGTATTGAACATTATCATACTTGACTTTTATACTAATGTATGCCATGTATATGTTTGCATTTTTCATTATGCTTTTTCTATGATAAGGGCCTGAGGGAAGATTAGTTATATAGCTAACTGTGTAACTCTCTTAAAATAAAGAACAGAGTTCCAATGTTCCCCATGTTGCACATATTTTATCTATCCAAGGTACAAGGGCAATAACTAAATAAATTGGGAATGTGTCCACGGGACACAGATTATCTTGAGGGTTATTAACTTTGTTAGACTTGTGAAAGAAAATAACATCTTGCTAGTTGAGATGCTTTATGATTCGTAAGATAAATAGATACGTAACAATAGCGATACGTTACATTACAAAAGTGTGCGCGAAAGTACAGGAAACAATTACATAACATAACATACTAAAGTCTCTTGGACTATATTCACGACACAGATGATGCCCCATTTGCATAAACGTTACAAAGGGACATAACTCAAGAACGGTAACAATGACGTTACCCAAATTCGTACTTGATTTGAGTTTCGTGGTAATAAGCATTGTGTATAAGTTTCATAACATTTGGTTGAGGCAAACTCAAGTTAGAGAACGGAAACTAAAAATTTTGCAATTTTTCCATTTATAAAGGGGCATAACTCTAGAACGGTTAAAGTGACGCCACCAAAATTCAAACTTGATCTGTGTTTTGTGGTAATTATCTTTGTGTATAAGTTTCATAACATTTGGTTGAGGCAAACTCAAGTTAGAGAACGGGAACCAATTTTGGGCCGTACGTACGTACAGACGGACAAGGGTAAAAGTTAATGCCCCCTCTGCTAGGGCGGGGGCATAAAAAATAATTTCATCTATATTGAGAATATGTTCGACTTATTTTGAAGACCCCTTTAGATCATTACTTCATCATCCTCTCGTTTTACTTATCATTATTACTAGTGTCTTTACTGAAGATGGACAAGTAATGGATTTAAAAATACACCCACAAAAGAGGAAAGGTTTGCCCTTGCTGTTTTTTTGTCACAATTCTTCATCGACTCCTTCTTTTCCCTTTTCCCTTGTTGTTTGTCAGTCCCCCCCCCCCCCCCCCCCCATGATACTATGAAAGCACTTTTGAGATCCAGGTTTCTGATCAGAATCATCACAGTGTTTGTAAAACACGTGGTTTTCAATGTATTAAGTACCATCATTGTTTTTGTTTCTTTCCCCTCCTCAAAAAGTACCTTTCATGTTTAAAATGTCTGACAATAAAAAAGTCCGAAAAATATACTTGAATAAACTGTACAGTAAAGACAGCAAAAAATCTGGGATTTGTTGACAAGTAAAATTTTATGAAATTCCTAATTTTAAAAAAAATTTTGACTAGCCCGTCTGACTACTGTGATGAAAACTTTACTAGCCCTCCCTAAATTTAACTAGCCTCGGGCTAGTGTCGAACCCTGATAACAAGGCGTAGATTCTTTAATTCAGTCACGGACCCGCGATGTCTCGGGTGTGTTCTAGTTTTACAGATGGAAACATCATAACATTAGGCATCTTCATACAATAGTATGAGGCATCCAGGTCTTCTAACTCCTAAAATATTAAGCTTTTTACAAATAGTTTATGCTACAGTTGCCCCTGTATTAACATACCTATGTCTCGCATTTTGCAATTTTGGTCGTAGACCAATCAAAAAACCATGCATGCCATAACTTGAAGGTTAGTCAGACCTGTCTGTTTATTTCTGCAAGGATTAATGTAACATAAAAATGGCTCTTTTAGCAATTTTCATCCAATGCAAGACAAATATGACAAAAAGTTCGTTTTTATGGAGCAGGGCAAATGCGTCATCTCTTAAGTGCCAACACACAGAAATTATGCTATAAATTTACCTGGGAAACTTTCCAATTTTTTACCATTCAGATAATAACCTATCCCAATCTTGATCTCTTTAAAGATGTCCAAAATGTCAAGCTTTGTTATGGCAATCCTGAAATAAAATAAAAAGATCCTAGTAGGTTACATTGCTCAGTTTTCATTTTCATTTCAAATTTTCATCAAAATTCAAATATTAATTCATTGAAATACCATTTTCCCATTTAGTTTTCATAAAATACATCAATTATGCAACAATTAATCTATCTATAAAAGGTAGATTAATTTTATCAATTTTCTTCTTCTGGAATCTCCATTTATTTGAAAATTGCCCCCCTTCTTTCAGAACAATTGTAAGTTCCTGAGTTTTCTTTCACAAGCTGGTTACATTCAGGTGAGTACACGTCATATTTTTTTGTCATTTAAAAAAAAAAAGAAGCCTTTCTTTTCAGAACCAGAAAGGACACACACACAAAAAAAAGAGAAATATTCCTGTAAATATTACCCAGTATGGACAAAAGCTTTCGATTGTATACGGCCAAGTGGTGCGAAATAGCTCACTGCAATTTATGCAAGTTTAAGATTTTGTCAAAAGTAGCTTAAGCTTGCCTTTAGTTACCAGTCAGTAATGCAGAATTTGAAAGGATAATTTCAACATGAAAAAATAAATTGCTTCACCGAGCGCAGCTGGATACGACCGCAGAGGTCCAACCCTGAACAGTTGGGGCAAAAATGGACACATCACGCTTGATACAGGTCTGAATTTGGATTGTAATTCAATATTTGACACATAATAGGTTTCTGACACCGAATAACTATAGTCAAAGAACATTTTGCTTTTGTGCAATACACTATGCTGTTGCGAATTGACCTCCATCCCCCTTTTTAAAAAAAAAAAAAAATTTGAAGGATTTTCTTTTTGATTTTTGAAATCTTGAGAAAAAATTGTCCCCCCCCCCCCAATTTTTTTACCCCCCCCCCAATTTTTTTTAACCTCCCCCTCCCCTTTTTCCCAAAAAAAAAAATTCTTTCCCTCAGTCATGGTCATAATTTCAATTCAAATTTCCAATGGAGTTTGCAACCATAATAACCCAATTAAATACATCATAAAAGTCTTAAAATAGAAAATGACATACATAATCATAGCCAAAATTAATTTACCTTAATCAGCATTTTTAAAATTATTAAAATAATAACTTCTAAAAAAAATTGACAACTAATCACCTCAAGACAATACAATAATTCTTTATACACAATTTAAAAGCAGTGAAAGGGAGGTAATTCAAAGTTGTGTTTGAATTACCTCCCTTACCCTGTAATTTGTACTTAAGTGATTGTCCATTGACCAGGACACCCTTGTTTTTCTCACTTTTTTGCCCCTAATTCTGAAACGGTTTGAGCCATAACCCCCCAAAGCCAATCCTAACCATCCATTTGTGGTATGGAAACTTGTGGTATAATTTCAAAGAGATCCATACACCGTTCCACAAGTTATTGTCATGAAACTAGATCTAGAGGATCTCAAGAGCCTGTGTCGCTCACCTGTATTTACTGATGCTTTGGAAATCATGTAAAATAAGGTTAAAATCATAATTAATAGTATTAGATATTAGATATTATAATGATATCTAAGATAATAACAATGAAATGCTCCGCTGGGCGCAGCTTGATACGACCGCAGAGGTCAAACCCTGAACAGTTGGGGCAAGTATGGACACAACATTCAAGCTTGATACAGCACTTAATTTGGATTGTGATTATATATTTGACACAGCATAGGTTTCTGACACAGAATGAATGTGGTCTAAGAACTTAAAATTTTTTAATCTACCTGTTCAAACCATATCATTATTATTTGCTTTTATATATAAATCAGAAATAACCAATTTAAAATGGAAAACTTTAAAGAAAAAAAATGAAAAAAAATCCCTCCCCCAAATTTTTTGAACCCCCTTATGATTCATCACCCCCAAACTCAATCCCAGCCTTCCCTTTGTGGTATGGTACCTTGCAGTACAATTTCAGAGAGATCCATACACTTGAACACAAGTTATTGTCTGGAAACTAGAAAAATGCTTGTTTTTTGGCCCCAAATTCCTAAACGTTTAGGGCAATTACCCCAAACTCAAACCCAGCTTTCCCTTTGTGATATGGAACCTTGTAGTACAATTTCATAAAGATCCATGCACTTAAACACAAGTTATTATCCTGAATCTAGAAAAATGCTTGTTTTTTGCCCCTTTTTGGCCCCTAATTCCTACAATTTTGAGGTAATTACCCCCAAATTTAATCCAAGCCTTCCCTTTGTGGTATGGTACCTTGCTGTACAATTTCAGAGAGATCCATACACTTGAACACAAGTTATTGTCTGGAAACTAGAATTTTTTTTATTTTTGGCCCCTTATTCCTAAACGTTTTGGGCAATTACCCCCAAAATCAATTCCAGTTTTCCATTTGTGATATGGAACCTTGTAGTACAATTTCAGAAAGATCCATACACTTACACGCAAGTTATTGTCATGAAACTAGAAAAATGCTTGTTTTTTGCCCCTAATTCCTAAAATTTTGAGGCAATTACCCCCAAAATCAATCCCAGCATTTCCTATGTGATATGGAACCTTGTGGTACAATGTCAGAGAGATCCATACACTAACACACAAGTTATGTCTGGAAGTTACAAAAATGCTTATTTTTGGCCCCTAATTCCTGATCTGTTGGTACCATAACCCCCAAAATCAATCCCAACCTTTATTTTGTGGTATTGAACCTTATGGTAAAATTTCATAGAGAGACATACATTTAAACTAAAGTTAGAGTGTGAAAACCAATGTGTCTTCGGATGACGACGACGACAACGCCAACATCATACCAATATACGACCGCAAAATTTTTTTGTGGTCCTATAATAAACAGCTGCGCCATGAGCACATGATACGCCCATCGCTTTTTCAAAGAATAAAGTTCAATAACTTCTCAATGTCATATTTAGAGAAATTTATGAAAAACTAAAGGGAGATTATCTTAATAGATATAAAGTATTAAACCAGTCACCAAAGTTTCATGAAAACTGCTCAAAGCACTTTAAAGATATTGTCTGAAAACTGGAAAATCACCCCTTCTTTATGAATAAAACCCCATAACTCGGAAACGTAAAATCTAAAATATATAAAAATCGAAAGGGAGCTTACATCAATATATATAAACAATTCACCAAAGTTTCATGAAACTTGCTGAAAGCATTTTTGAGTTATTGTCCGAAAACTGGAAAATTCCCCTTTTTTTAATGAATAAAACCCCATAACTGGGAAACGTAAAATCTAAAATTTCTAAAAAAAGACGTAAAAATAAGATAGGGAGGGAAACTAAAACATCAGCTTTTTTATTTAGACTATAGACTCAGTTTAAGTATTTGTCATGAACTGGTTTACGAGCATGAGGAATAAAACTGATATTATTTCATCTCTATGAAAAATAAGAGATATAATCATATACAGAAAACATAATTGTCTTTCTTGGTATTATGATATTTTTTGGTTGCTGCCACATTGTTATTTAACCAACAAAGCCAAACATGGCATCAAAAACTGGACATAACAAGATACAGCTTTCAACACTGAGCTGGTGCCAATATGAAAAGCTCAGTAGAACAGATAACATGAAATTAGGTAAAATATTGCAATTTTTAAAATTTTAGACTGTTCATTCAGAAATTTCTGGGTGCATTTATTATTGGGATCAATTATACTCATAATGTTGTTAACAATTAAAATAATGCTATGGAAATTTAAAATGCAACATTAACTATTAAGATTTCAGGAAATGTTATATTCAAATAATGCCATCAAAATTTACAATGCAAGTTTTAATTTTAAAATTAAGAAATCTTTTCTTTTGCAATTTTCAGGCAATAATAAAAACATCACAAAAAATTCTGAATTCACAGTTATACAAAATAAAAAAGAAACTACATATGTTACAAGGTCTATCAATACATAATATTAACAACGAAAATATAATCAAAGAACAAATATAATAACATTTTTGTATACTCATTTATTTTTACAAAAGATTTTTTAAACAAAGCATTTTATACAACATGTTTTGTTTCATCACAAAAAGTTAATTTCAGTGGATATATGGGGCCATTATCCAAATTAATTTGATTAACAGCTTGAAAATATTAAATACAAAATATACTGATGTAACAGACCTTGAATATTGAATGCATTAATTAATAAATGGAAAATTAACAATAAAAATCTTATTCTGCAATCAATTTTATTAAGTTCGTCTAAAAACTTTATGTGTTCTATTAAATAAGAAAATTACACAATATAAAAATCTGCATAGATTTATTCATAAATAAAATGCTTCGCTGGGCGCAGCTTGATACGACGGCAGAGGTCAAACCCTGAACAGTTGGGGCAAGTATGAACACAACATTCAAGCTTGATACAGCTCTGAATTTGGATTGTGATTAAATATTTGACACAGCATAGGTTTCTGACACAGAAAGAATGTGGTCTAAGAACTTGAATTTTTTTAATTTACCTATTATGGTCCAATGTCCAAAATCAAAATACATGGTAAGATTCAGCATATCAAAGAACCCCATATATTCAATTTTTGTTGAAATCAAACAAAATTTAATTTTGGACCCCAACTTGGACAAACTTGAAAACTGGGCCCATAATCAAAAATCTAAACACATGTTTAGATTCAGCATATCAAAGAACCCCAAGAATTTTTGTTAAAATCAAACTGTTTAATTTTGGACCCTTTTGACCTCAATATGAACCAATTTGATAGCGGGGCCAACAAATAAAAAATCTAAATACATGGTTAGATTCAGCATATCAAAGAACCCCATATATTCAATTTTTGTTGAAATCAAAAAAAGTTTAATTTTGAACCAACTTGAAAACTGGGCCCATAATCAAAAATCTAAACACATGTTTAGATTCAGCATATCAAAGAACCCCAAGAATTCAATTTTTGTTAAAATCAAACTAAGTTTAATTTTGGACCCTTTGGACCTTAATGTAGGCCAATTTAAAAAACGGGACCCAAAATTAAAAATCTAAATACAGGGTTAGATTTGGCATATCAAAGAACCCCAATAATTCAATTTTTGATGAAATCAAACAAAGTTTAATTTTGGACCCTTTTGACCTCAATATGAACCAATTTGATAGCGGGGCCCACGAATAAAAAACCTAAATACATGGTGAGATTCAGCATATCAAAGAACCCCATATATTCAATTTTTGTTGAAATCAAAAATAGTTTAATTTTGAACCAACTTGAAAACTGGGCCCATAATCAAAAATCTAAACACATGTTTAGATTCAGCATATCAAAGAACCCCGAGAATTCAATTTTTGTTAAAATCAAACTAAGTTTAATTTTGGACCCTTTGGACCTTAATGTAGACCAATTTAAAAAACGGGACCCAAAATTAAAAATCTAAATACAGGGTTAGATTTGGCATATCAAAGAACCCCAATAATTCAATTTTTGATGAAATCAAACAAAGTTTAGTTCTGGACCCTTTTGACCTCAATATGAACCAATTTAATAGCGGGGTCCACAAATAAAAAATCTAAATACATGGTTAGATTCAGCATATCAAAGAACCCCATATATTCAATTTTTGTTGAAATCAAACACAGTTAAATTTTGGACCCCAATTTGGACCAACTTGAAAACTGGGCCAAAAATCAAAAATCTAAATACATGTTTAGATTCAGCATATCAAAGAACCCCATATATTCAATTTTTGTTGAAATCAAACAAAGTTTAATTTTGGATCCCAACTTGGACTAACTTGAAAACTGGGCCCAAAATCAATAAAATGCTTCGCTGGGGCGCAGCTTGATACGACCGCAGAGGTCGAACCCTGAACAGTTGGGGCAAGTATGGACACAACATTCAAGCTTGATACAGCTCTGAATTTGGATTGTTATTAAATATTTGACACAGCATAGGTTACTGACACAGAAAGAATGTGGTCTAAGAACTTGAATTTTTTTAATTTACCTATTATGGTCCAATGTCCAAAATCAAAATACATGGTTAGATTCAGCATATCAAAGAACCCCAAAAATTCAATTTTTACTAAAATCAAACTATGTTTAATTTTGGACCCTTTGGACCTTAATGTAGACCAATTTAAAAAACGGGACCCAAAATTAAAAATCTAAATACACGGTTAGATTTGGAATATCAAAGAACCCTAATAATTCAATTTTAGATGAAATCAAATAAAGTTAAATTTTGGACCCTTTTGACCTCAATATGAACCAATTTGATAACGGGGTCCACAAATAAAAAATCTAAATACATGGTTAGATTCAGCATATCAAAGAACCCCATATATTCAATTTTTGTTGAAATCAAACAAAGTTTAATTTTGGACCCCAATTTGGACCAACTTGAAAACTGGGCCAAAAATCAAAAATCTAAATACATGTTTAGATTCAGCATATCAAAGAACCTCATATATTCAATTTTTGCTAAAATCAAACAAAGTTTAATTTTGGACCCTTTGGACCTTAATGTAGACCTATTTGAAAACTGGACCCAAAATTAAAAATCTAAATACACTGTTAGATTCGGCATAACAAATAAATAAATGTGATCAAAGATTTTACAAATCTAATGCGCCATACTGTGCAATTAAAGATTACTTCTTGAAATTTTTCAATATTTGAAATTTGAAAAAAAAATAATATTTCAAGAATAATTCTTTTTAATTTCTGAAATCTGAAATGAGAAAA